AATGAGAGGACACCAGACAGAAATGTGAAGCCATATGAAGAAATAAATAATACCAGTAAAAGACAAAAAGTACATGATTATCTCAATTGATGCATAAAAAAGCATTTGACAAACTCTAACACCGTTTCATGATAAAAGTAGGAATAGAAAATAGCTTCTACAATCTGATAAAGGCCATATATGAAAAGCCTGCATTGCCAAGACAATCCTAAGTCAAAAGAACAAAGCCGGAAGCATCATGCTACCTGACTTCAAACTATACTACAAGGCTACAGTAACCAAAACAGCATGGTACTGGTACCAAAACAGAGATATAGACCAATGGAACAGAACAGAGCCCTCAGAAATAATACCACACATCTACAACCATCTGATCTTTGACAAACCTGACAAAAACAAGATTTGGGGAAAGGATTCCCTATTTAATAAATGGTGCTAGGAAAACTGGATAGCCATATGTAGAAAGCTGAAACTGGATCCCTTCCTTACACCTAATTAATTAATTAATACAAAAATTAATTCAAGATGATTAAAGACTTAAATATTAGACCTAAAACCATAAAAGCCCTAGAAGAAAGCCTAGGCAATACCATTCAGAACATAGGCATGGGCAAGAACTTCATGACTAAAACACCAAAAGCAATGTCAACAAAAGCCAAAATTGACAAACCAGATCTAATTAAACTAAAGAGCTTCTGCACAGCAAAAGAAACTACCATCAGAGTGAAGAGGCAACCTACAGAATCGGAGAAAATTTTTACAATCTACCCATCTGACAAAGGGCTAATATCCAGAATCTACAAAGAACTCAAACAAATTTACAAGAAAAAATCAAACAACCCCATCAAAAAGTGGGCAAAGGATATGAACAGACACTTCTCAAAAGAAGACATTTATGCAGCCAACAGACACATGAAAAAATGCTCATCATCACTCACCATCAGAGAAATGCAAATCAAAACTACAATGAGATACCATCTCATACCAGTTAGAATGGCAATCATTAAAAAGTCAGGAAACAACAGGTGCTGGAGAGGTTGTTCAGAAATAGGAACACTTTTACACTCTTCGTGGGACTGTAAACTAGTTCAACCATTGTGGAAGACAGTGTGGTGATTCCTCAAGGATCTAGAACTAGAAATACCATTTGACCCAGCCATCCCATTACTGGGTATATACACAAAGGATTATAAATCATGCTCCTATAAAGAAACATGCACACGTATGTTTATGGCGGCACTCTTCACAATAGCAAAGACTTGGAACCAACCCAAATGTCCATCAATGATAGACTAGATTAAGAAAATGTGGCACATATACACCATGGAATACTATGCAGCCATAAAAAAGGATGAGTTCATGTCCTTTGTAGGGACATGAATGCAGCTGGAAACCATCATTCTCAGCAAACTATCACAAGGACAAAAAACCAAACACTGCATGTTCTCACTCATAGGTAGGAATTGAACAATGAGAACACTGGGACACAGGAAGGGGAACACCACACACGGGGGCCTGTTGTGGGGTGGGGTGAAGGGGGAGGGATAGCATTAGGAGATATACCTAATGTAAATGATGAGTTAATGGGTGCAGCACACCAACATGGCACATGTGTACATATGTAACAAACCTGCACGTTGTGCACATGTACCCTAGAACTTAAAGTATAATAAAAAAAGAAATGAAAAAAATACATTGCACAGATGAAATATGATCATGCATTTATAGCACTTAGCACATTTCCTGACATAATAAAATACCCAATAAAACAACAAAAAAAAAAGAAAAACCCACAGCTGACATTGTACTCAATAGTGAAGGACTGAAGTTTTTCCCCTTAAGATCAGAAACAAGACAAGGATGTTCATTGTGGTTGGAAAAAATAATTGATATAATTTCAATCTTCTTAAGTGGTTAAGAATTGTTTTGTGGCCTAACATATGATCTATCCTGGTGAATATTCTGTATGCACTTGAAAATAATGTGTATTCTGCTACTGTTGCTCAAAGTCTGGGGTTGAAGAGGCCAGCTTAGTACTGGGTTGGACCTGAAGCCTAGGGCTGTGTGGGCCAGCCTTTTTTGGGCTGGGTTGGAGCCTGGTCTGGGCCTGAAGCCTGAGCTTGAATGGGCCAGCCTGAAATCTGGGGCCACCAGGGATGGCCTGGAGTCTGTACCCATAAGGGCTATATTGGAGGCTGAATCTTTGGGTGCTGACCTGGTACCTGAGGCCATGGGGGCCAGCCTGGAGCTGAGGTCCATGGGTGTCAATGTGGCACTGGGACAGACTCAAAGCCTGGGAGTGTGAAGGCCAGCCTGGAGCTGAGTTGGTCTGGATACTGGGTCTGTGGGTATTTGCCTTAAACTGGGGTCCAAACATGCTAGTCTTGTGATGGAGAGGGCCTGAAAGCTGAATCTGGGGGTACAGTGGCTGTCCTGAAGTGAAGGGGCTGTCTTGGAGGGGTGCAAGCCTGGAGGTATGACCTGCTGCTGAAGGAAGTCTGGAGTCTGGGGCTACTGGCCCAAGGATGGGAGACTACATCTGCAGGGATGGCCTGGACATTGGGGCTACAAGGGCTGGCCTAGTGCCCAAGTCTGTGGGGACCAGCCTAAAGTCTGGGGTAATCATGGCCTGTCCAGGGCTAGACTTTTTGGGCTCAGTGTTTGGGTCTAAGGCAAAGTCTGGTGTTCACTTACTTCTTCTTCTCCCAAAGAAAGGGCATCTCTCTCCATACTGTGTTGCCTGGGGTTGGGGAAGGCATAACACAGGTAATTTAAAACTGTCCTGCTAAAGAGAAAAATAAAGCAAAAGAGAGAAGTAGTGATATTATGGAAAGGAGTGACGTTGCAGTGTTACATTGAGCGTCCAGAGAAAGGCTTCACTAGAAAGAGATACCCATGAAAAAGACCTGAAGGAAAAGTGGGAGCAAGGCATGCACATATGTGAGAGAAAATGCATATGTCTCCCTCATCTAAGGGCAGACCAAGTTAAAAGGCTCTGGGGCAGGAGCTTTCCAGGCCTATTTGAATGATAGCAAGAAAGTCTGTGTCATAATTGAGCGAGTGAGGGATATGAGAGAAGAGAGGTAAGGTGGGATCATATCATGTGGGTCCTTATAGGCTACTGTAATGAATTAGGCTGTGACTCAATAAGATAAGACAATTGCAGAGTACTGAGTAGGGGAAAGCCATCACTCTGGCTTCTGGGTGGTTAATTGGGTGGGAAAGAAGGTGGCTCATATCATGTGGGTTCTTGTAGACCACTATGAGTACTTGGGCTCTAACTCTGAGATGAGGACATTGCAGGATAATGAGTAGGGGAAAGGCATGATATGACTTACATTTTAACATGATTGCTCTGTCTATGGGTGGAGAATATTCCAGGTGTATGAGGGACAAGTATGGGAGTAGGGATAATAGTCAGGAGGATGTTACAGTAATATAGGCTTTGAACTGGGCAGGGGCAGGGGAGGTGGACAGATTCTGGATACATTTTGAAAGGTAAGCTGACCAGAGTTGCTGATAGATCAAATGTCAAGTTAGAGGGAAAGAGAGGAATCAGGTTAGATACCTAAGTTTTTGACCTGACCACTTCTAGCTTGCAGTGAGTTTTTTGTGTTATGAAAAGGAATTGAGTGTTTTAGCCTTTGTTTGTATTGTATATATTTAAGGTATATCACATGATGTCTTGATATACATATACATAGTGCAATGATTACTACAGTCAAGCAAATTAACATATCCATCGCTTCATATAGTTACCCTTTTTATATGGTAAGAGCACCGAAAATCTATCCTTTGCAAATTTTCAGTATGCAATATTATTAGTCTTCATATTATACATTACATCTCTAGACTTACTCATTCTACATAACTGTAACTTTGTACCCTTCGACCTACATCTCCCTATTTCCTCCCCCCACTGTCCGTGGTAATCACTGCTCTATTCTTTTTTCTATATATTTGACCTTTTAAAGAAGCCACACGTAAGTGAGATCATAGAGTATTTGTCTTTCTGTGCCTGGCTTATTTCACTTACCACAATGTCATCCAGGTTCATCCATGTTGTTGCAAATGACAGGATTTCATTATTTTTAAGGCTGATTCATATTCTAGTATACATATATATATCACAATTTCTATATCCATTCATGTATTGATGGGAACTTAGGTTGTTTCTATATGTTGACTTTTGTGAGTAACGCTGCAGTGAACATGGGAGCACAGATATCTCCATGAGGTGCTGATTTTTTCTTGAATACTTTTCCACATCTAGTCATTATCATATAGGTTTTCTTATTGCATTTGTTAGTGTGGCGAATTATATTATTACATTATTTTATTTAATTATGCTAACTGAGCTTTGTATTACTAAGAGAGGATATCTTGGCTACTTTTTTCCCATTTTCTCCATCCAATTTATTCCATCATTTGTTTTATAAGTTGCAATATTTGAAATCATAGTTTTCTTTTTCTTTTCTTTTTTATTGAGACTGAGTTTCACTTTTGTCCCCCAGGCTGGAGTGCAATGGCACGATCTCAGCTCACTGCAACCTCCACCTGCCAACTTCAAGCAGTTCTCCTACCTCAGCCCCCTGAGTAGCTAGGACTACAGGCGCCCACTACCACGCCCAGCTAATGTTTGTGTTTTTAGTAGAGGCGGGGTTTCACCATGTTAGCCAGACTGGTCTCAAACTCCTGACCTCAGGTGATCCAGCCACCTCAGCCTCCCAAAGTGCTGGGATTACAGGCGTGAGCCACTGCGCCCAGCCGAAATAGATAAATGAGCTTTGGATTCCAGACAACTGATTTCCCTGTGAACTTTAGAAACTAAAGTGTTCTGAGATTGGAAAAAAATATAAACTTCTACTGAGAGACTTCTAAGGGTGTTTAGTTTCCAGCGCAATTTTCCAGAACTTCCATTTTCAGTATAGTGCAAGCTAGGGCACCTGGTCTCTGTCATGTTATGTGCAAATGATAGTTGACTCGTGTTTCTTTTTAAGGTACCCTCACCTGAGTCCCAAGTACAAGGAGTCTTTTGATGTGGGCTGTAACCTCTTTGCCAAGTTTTCTGCATACATTAAGAATACACAAAAGGAGGCAAATAAGAGTAAGATACCTTTCTTTAAATCTCCATTTTTCTTCACTTTTCATACTCTCACTCAGCAAAAATAGAATTTTCCTGAATATATAGTATATTTGGGGGACTAGCCTAGTCTTCCCCTCATTGTCTGTTCTCTCCTCTGAAATTCCCTTGCATGAAGTTTTATTAGATTTAGAACTCAAGATTCAATATAGCAATTACCAGATGTGAACTAACTGCAAGACGGTGTACCTTTAAGGTTTCTTAAACTGTAGCACCTACCATTTCCCATGAACATTCTTAAATAGGTTTATTGTCCTCTGAGTCACAAGAACTGTGTTTTTTCTTTCACTTTCTAACTCTTCTGAGTTGGATAACATGTATCACTTTTCTTTCTTTTACTCTCCTGACAATGCACCTCCCTAAGAAAAGCCCAAAAGATTTACACTCACTATTTGATCTTACTTTGTCGTATCAGTGAGTAGTTGAGCATTCTAAATAGTTAACTAGATGTTGAAGAGCCAGTGTAAGCAGTATGTATAGATAGAGGTGTCTAAATGTGAGGAAAGCATATTTAGACTGTATTTAGTCAAAAGACAATACATTTACAAGTCCTTCATTGCCTCAGATTTTGAAAAATCTCTGCTCAAAGAATTCAAGCGTCTGGATGACTACTTAAACACCCCACTTCTGGATGAAATTGATCCAGACAGTGCTGAGGAACCCACAGTTTCCAGAAGACTATTCTTGGATGGGGATCAGCTAACACTGGCTGATTGTAGCTTGTTACCCAAGCTGAACATTATTAAAGTAAGTCTTTATAGGGCAGGCTGAATGGGTGGGAGGGGTTTGCCAGTTGCCAGCACAAAGCACAGTGACCTTCCAGTGCAGTATTATTATATTATAGCTTTGTCATTATCATCATCATCATCATGTGTAGTATCTACATCTCTTTTTTCTCTTTAGACAGAAAATCCATAATGATCTCTTCTGGGAAGTATTAAAACTTGTTTCTTTTTTTTTTTTTCTTTTTTGAGATAGGATCTTGCTCTGTCACCCAGGTTGGAGTGCAGTGGCATGATCAAGGCTTATTGCAACCCCCACCTCCAAGGCTCAAGCAGTCTTCCCACCCCAGCCTCTTGAGTAGCTGAGACTACAGGTGCATGCCACTACACCTGGCTAATTTTTTGTACTTTTTGTAGAGACAGGGTTTCACCATGTTGCGCAGGCTGGTCTTGAACTCCTGGGCTCAAGTGATCCGCCTGCCTTGACCTCCCAAAGTGCTAGAATTACAGGCATGAGCCACCGCGCCCGGCCAAAACTTGTTTCTTTCTTTCTAAATCAGAAGGTATTTTCCACTGTCTTGTCTTTATTTTATAAAGGATAATAATATTACCTATTTTACAGAATTGTTAAGAGAATTAAATAAATTAAAGCATTTAAAATGCTTAGAACAGTGCCTAGATCATAATAGGGAATAACCAATTTGGGCTATTCATATTATGATGAATTAATCATAAATTTAACAAATATTTATTGCACAGACTTATGCAGAATATACTCTCTGAGTCCTATGCCAAACACAGAGAATACGTAAAGAAATAAGACAAGACTCTAAATAAACTCTTAGTCTAGTGGTGGTGGATATGTGCTCATTTTCTGTGCTTCCTTTCACTAAATATAGTCATAATTAAATATGGAATCAATATAAACATGATTGTAAGCATATGGTTTTGTCAACATTTGTAGACAAAACATCAAAATAGTCCAAGATTCGAGTCTACTTCATAGTTTATTTTATAGTGCTTTTTGTGTCGATAAGATGCCTTTGATAATCTTGACTTCTGAGATATATTTCTACATAGTAGACATATTACTGATGCCTTTCTTTTTCCTCTTTTTTTTTGCAAAATTCTAGGTTGCTGCCAAGAAATATCGTGACTTTGACATTCCAGCAGAATTCTCAGGAGTCTGGCGTTATCTCCACAATGCCTATGCCCGTGAAGAATTTACCTACACGTGTCCTGAAGACAAAGAAATTGAAAATACTTATGCAAGTGTAGCTAAACAGAAGAGTTAGGACAGCTCTTACAGGAGAAAAGGCTGTATTTGTGATCAGATTTTACTTAATGACATATTAGAAAAGTTTTTGCAAATAAGAATATGAAAAATACTGTTTCTTCTGTCCAACTCTCTTATGAAAAGGAACTCTGTATTTTCTGTTAGCCATAAACAATCTGTCCACTGTATTTTACAGGTCTTCCCACTTTTACTTAATTTTCTTTATTTGTATGGCAAACCACTGCAATCCTGAATGACATGGAAAGCATCACGATCTTTTGCCCTTTGCTTGAATTCCTGGAATGCATACATATAAGCTAAATAGATGTCTGCAGTTATAAATGTCATAAGTAGAGGTACAATCTCACCCTGCTCCTTAGAAACATTTCCATACAAATTGCTAAAATAATTCCACATTTTTGCTAGTTTAATATATACATGAGTTTATTTCTGATACAAATAACAAATTCAGAGTGAGCATATCAGAGAGGCAGATTCTAAAAGAATGATTTTTAAAATCAGCTCTAGGAAGAGATCAAGATCAATTGGTCGTAGAACAGCATTTGACGCCTAGAACTATGACCATCTCATGGCCAGAGATGAGAATGTAGCCTTTGTGACCAGATTATATTATTTTTAAATGAAGAAGCACTCATTAAATAAAACATAATTTTAAAAAACCAGAAACAAAGTCAACTGAATCTTTTATTCATACAAATGAAAAGGAAAATAAGAAATGTGACTGACCAAAAGGTCTTGTTGTTGTCCATAAAAGGATAAGGTAAACAGTCGTTAGATAATTATAAAACTTTCTGCAAAAGTTAAAATGTTACATTACTATACATATTCAGATTCACTTGTTAAAGTACTCTTAAATCATTCAAATCTGGAAACAAAAGCTGAACTAAACTACTGCTCCCTCAAAGGAGAAACACAAGCATAAGTGCAGCATCTAAAAAGGAAAATATGGGGTTATTTTAGGTTTTGGTGGAAAGGTGGAGTTTAGATAAAATTTAAATGAAGTAGCGTTTTAATAGGTTCAAAGAAAAGTAAGGCAATGAGCAAGTTCAAAGTACTGTCCTTGAAAACCACAGAGTCAAGATAAATGTATAGTGTATGGTTAGGTGGCAGAGAAATGCAATCATGTTGATAACCTTTGAGATACATCCTCTCATCAGCATATTTCAGAATACATGCAATATACTAGCAAGTTACAATTGATAGAATACATTTGAAATGTTAAATGAAATAAGCCAGGCACAGAAAGACAAACACCACATGATCTCACTCATATGTGGAATTTTAAAAAGTTGATGTCACACAAGTAGAGGGTAGAATCGTGGTTACCAGGGGCTGGGCAGAGAAAGAAGGCAGAGGCACTGAAAGATGTTGGTCAATGGGTATAAAGTTACACTTAGGAAGAATAAATTTTGGTATTCACCACAGTTGGGTGACTATAGCAAATAATAATGTAGCATATATTTCAAGATAGCTAGAAAAGCAGATTTTAAGTGTTGTCACCACAAAGAAATAACAAATGTTTATTATGATGGATATGGTCATCACACCTATTTGTTCATGATACTGTGTATACATGCATTGAAACACCACATTGTATCCCATATATATGTACAATTATGTGCCCATTATACATTTTAAAATAAATTTTAGAAACCTTCAATTAAACAACTCTTGGTTTAAAGGAAAAATATAAACCAAAACTACAGTACCTCTAAAACAAATAATGATGATGTAAACACTTCATATCAGAATCCATGGGATAAATATAAAGCAGTGATCAGAGGAAATTTTATAACACTAAACACTGCTATTAGTAAAAATAAAAGATTGAAAATAAATTGATTAAATATTGAGCTAACAAAAATATTTAAAATGTGCACAACAATGTGAATATACTTAACACTTCTCAACTCTCTGCTTCAAAATAGTTAAGATGATGAGTTTTAAGCTATGTGTTTTTAACACAACTTTAAAAAAATGTCCAAAGGGATGTTGGTAGAGCACCAGCAAAAAACAAAAAGAAACTTATAATAAGTACAACAAATTAAGTAAAAGAACACAAGAAATTAACAAAAAAAGTAAGAATTAACAAAAGAGAATCGAAATAGCATACACCTAGTTAATGAATCAAAATCCTTATTTTTTAAAAGATTGATAATATAGACAAACCACTAGCTACATTAATCAAAATAAAACAGAGAAAGCAAAAATATGCAAATAAAGAATGGGGAAATAACTATTAGAAGAAATTTAAGACTTTATAAGAGACTACTTTGCACACCTCTATGCAAATAAATTTGAAAATCTAGATAATAGAGATAATTTCCTAGGAAAGTAATGATTACCACAAACAACTTTATTAGAGATATAAAAATTAAAGAGATCAATCTTCATAGAAGAAACAGAGAACATTTTTTAAAAAGTATCAAAGAAGAGAGTTTCACAGGGAAATTCTACCAAACTTTAAAAGACCATATAGTCTCAAAGTAACTTTGTGAAACAGTGTTTCTTCTGGAAAATATAAAACAAAATATAAAGAAACTATACATAAACATTACACTCTAATTGGCAAAGTTGTTTCTCAAGGAGATAGGTGTAGACAATTCTGAAACAGCCATACATGTATACTAAGATTGAAAAAATAAGTAAATGATCTATAGGTGGGAAGTACAAATAATCAAGAAAAGAAGGCTAGGATGAACTATGTGGTACTGGATTCAATTCAGAGACATCAGTATGTACTCACGTTTAACTTAATATTGACAGAAGTGAATAGATACAAAAATAATTACACATGTGTATGTACATGAGGCAGTATACATATGTATATTTCCTAGCCCTGTGTCCTGAGAGGGCCTGGAAGCAATAGTACCCTAGTAGCAACTAGCACACCCAGTGCTAAGACCTTGGATTCTAATATCATTCTCCAATAAAAGGAACTAGAGCTCCTTGGAGAAATAACTGATTCTACGACCAGGACAGGGGAAATATGAGATGGACCTGGAGAATCTCATAGTACCAGAAAGTAAGGAATTTAAAAAAAAAAAAAAAGATGAGGGCATGGCAAAGGGATAGAGGAGTCATCCTGAAAGATTGCCAAATTTGGAAAAATTTCAGCAATAAGATATAGATACTCCTCACCTTCTGATGGGGCTATGACTTGATAAACCCATCATAAGTTAGAAATATTATAAGTTGAAAAGGCATTTAATACCCCAACAAACCCATCATAAAGTCAAAAAATCGTAAGTCAAACCATAAGTCCAGATGCTCCTCAGCTTACCATGCAATTACATCCCAATAAACCCACCATAAACTTGAAAATTTGTAAGTAAGCCAAATGGTCATAAGCTGAGGTTTGTCTGTATTGCAGTATTAGATTATAACACAAAGTATAAAATAGATAAGTCCATAGGGAAACAAATGACTAAATAAATAAATGGAGGAAAAGAGGTAAATCTCCCATTACAGAGGACTTCCAAATAGTGTATGTAGATCTTTCCCACTCAAGCTGGTGGAGCTTCAGTTCTTAAGCTTAGAGTATGAGCTGTACTTAATGACTTGCTTCTAAAGAGTAGAGTATGACAGTTTGTATGGGGATGAGTAACTTTGCAGTAGAGAAACCTGGCAAACACTACCTCAAAACACATGATCAAAGTCAATATCAACAGACAAGCCACATTGATAGTTTGTATCCTTGATATATGTGATGAAAATAGCAGTTTACCTCTGATCTTTACGAGAAAAACAAAGTGATTTGAGAATTCTTATCCCAAAGGACAGGTTTTAAAGAAATACTTTCTTCTTTGTAGTCAATTCTCAGTTATTTACAGCACAGTACCTCCAATGAATTATTCTTCACTGTTACCATCATATTGTTTGTTTTGTGGCCATGTTCCTGCTAATTAAAACTTTCTAATCAATATCAGAAGGCTGGCAAAGAAAAAAAAAAAAGAAGTAGAAACTAAGATTCGTGTTCATCGTGAGTTTATTCCTTTCTCCTTACTGTTGAAATGTTCAAATTCTGATCTAGAATACTTCTAAAATTACCCAATGTTCAAGTGTCATATACTTTTTAATTAACTGGCAAAATTAATCGAACACATATTATGAATGAGATGTGATGTAATGTTGTGAAGGAAACCAGAAAATGTTGAGACTTTGTTCTTGTCCTTTTGACATGATGAAACACTAGTAGAGAAGGTGTCAAAACATCTGCTTAAAATCGTGGTAACATTGGGCAAGTGACTTGACCAATCTAAGCCTCAGGTTCCATTTTTTATAATTTCAACTTTTATTTTCAATTCAGTGGTTACATGTGCATGTTTGTTACATGGGTATATGCATGATGCTCTGTTTTTAAGTATGAATGATCCCATCACCAGGTAGTGAGCATAGTAGCCAATAGGTAGTTTTTCAACCCTTGCCTCCCTTCCTTCCTGCCCACTCCAGTGGGTCCCAGTGTCTATTGTTCCCTTCATTGTGTCCATGTGTACCCACTATTTAGCTCCCACTTATAAGTGAGAACATGTGGTATTTTGTTTTCTGTTTCTGCGTTAATTCACGTACGATAACAGTCTCCAGCTGCATCCATGTTGCTGCAAAGGACATGATTTCATTCTTTTTTGTGGCAGCATAGTATTTGATGTAGGTATATACGTACCACATTTTATTTATCCAATCCTCTGTTGATGGATACTTAGGTTGATTTCATGTCTTTACTATTGTAGATAGTACTATCGTGAATATACAAGTGCAGTATCTTTTTGGTAAAATGATTAATTTTCCTTTGGGTAGATACCCAGTAATGGGTTTGCTGGGTCGAATGGTAGCTTGTTTTAGTTCTTTGATAAATCTTTAAGCTGCTTTCCACTGTGGCTGAACTAATTTACATTCCCATCAGCAGTGTATAAACATTCCCTTTTTTCCACAGCCTTGCCAGCATCTGTTATTTGACTTTTTAGTAATAGCCATTCTGACTGGTGTGAGATGGTATCTCATTGTGGTTTTGATTTTTCTCTAATGATCAGTGATGTTGAGCTTTTTTTCATATGATTGTTGGCCATATGTATCCTTTTTTTTTTTTTTTTTTTTTTTTTTTTTTTTTTTGAGACAGAGTCTTGCTCTATTACCCAGGCTGGAGTGCAATGGTGCAATCTCAGCTCACTGCAACCTCCACTTCCTGGGTTCAAGCGATTCTTCTGCCTCAGCCTCCCAAGTAGCTGGGACTATAGGAGCATGCCACCATGCCCGGCTAACTTTTGTATTTTTAGGAGAGATGGGGTTTCACCATATTGGCCAGGCTGGTCTCAAATTCCTGACCTCGCGATCTACTTGCCTTAGCCTCACAAAGTGCTGGGATTACAGGCATGAGCCACTGCGCCCAACCGTATGTCTTCTTTTGAGAAGTGTCTGTTCATATCGTTTGCCCACTTTTTAATTTGGTTATTTGGTTTTTGCTTGTTGAATTA